CGGGTTTAGTGAGATTGACGGGAGTAAGACATTAAACATCCTCCTTGTTTAAGTCAAGTCGCTGTAGCTCTAGATTGCTTGTTACAAAATGAAATGAGGTTTAACATCCTACTGTTCTGCTCCTATGCTGGGCTAAAGCAGACGGACATACGCCATACAGTGTGCTATGAGGGAAATTTTGCCCGGACAGCGGCACTATCGCCTACTCTTATATCGAATTCCAACTGCCAAGGGATCTTTTACGAGCATTTCAATGTATACACGGGATCTCGGTTTTTCGTCTCATCCGAAGGACTAGACAGCTGTCCTTGTCAGGCCCTCTGTCCTGCATCACTGGCAAGGGGGAACCACGCCGGAAAATCTGGATGAATTTTCTCGGCCAATGCAAGGATCGAACACTCGACCTCCAGGCTAGCGAGCCAGCGTCTTACCCACTTAGCCACGTGATCTCCCTTGGTGGATACAGGTATACCTTTTACCTTGTATTCAATGCTTTTAGGGTGTTGGATGGTCCAATAGTCTAACCCATGAGCTTTGCGTAAGGTTTGTTATTGAGTCAAATGGGCGTGGCTGTCCAACCTCGTAGGTTTTCCCAGGGTTCTTCGGTTTCCTCCCACTGCTAAAGACCCCTATGCGCAAGCAAATTATTGAAATAAAATTGAACGATATGTTAGTCCTGGAATCACTTACTTTGTGTCGAATTGACGTTAAACGGGTATGCACGTAAAAGAACCCTTGACGTTTGGAATTCGTTGAAACGCCACTGTCAGGACAAAATACATCGCCCTACCATTGCACACGTGACCATTGACATAAATTAACTGTATGTTAGTCTCAAAATGGCCGTGTTATGCTGACGAGTGTTAATTCCCAACTATTTAATTGTTCAATATTGCTGCTGATTCGGAGAACATATTACCGTAAACTTGTCAAAAGCATCAATCATCATTTATATCATTGTATAGATCTATTCCGTTATTTAAGACGTAAAGTCCACGTGTTTTAAGGTTTGTTTTTGACCAGTCATTGAACTTTCACACAAAGCATTTTTGTCAGATGTGGAATTTCAAATATTTGCGTTTTAAAGGACGAGTCTGTTTAGATTTGTAAGAATCATTAAAGCGTCGAGTCATTTAAATCTCTTTTGGTAATTTAGATTTTGTAGATTCACCCAACGTTGATATATATACAGTTCAGACCTCGACAAATGATAAAAAAAAAACGGAATTAAAAGTGGTATAATGATAGAATTGAAGACATGTTATCGTGTTTGTGAAATAATTTATTATCCAATTTCTCGTACAGAAGATCGGACCTTTTAAAGGAGATGTCCCATCTGTATTTCTATATTCTAACTTATATGAAATGGGGTTTAACGTCCTACTTTTCTGCACCGATCAGATATATTCTAACAGAAGACATAATGATGACAGCTACTCGATGTTAATTAGCCCCCCACCCCCTCTTAGTGACGTCATCAAAGACGGGCATATCTTCAAATGTGACGTCTACAAGCTTAAACATTGCGATATTTATTGTCAATGACCCAAAATTATTCTTGTTTTTATGTGTCCTTCCCAATCGACACTTCCATGTTGTCCAGTAGCGTCACAAAACACAATATTGGCGTTTGAACGAAGTTCATTCTGGTAGTTATTACCCTTGTCTGTCTATTGTTAGAATATACAGGTGGACCACCACCTTTAAAGGCACATCCTTTATAAAATATAATGTTCTAATTCGACTTAAATTGTAGAAGAATCAGATAAGGGCAAATACATCATTGGAACACATTTGACATTAGAATTTGCGATAGAAAATAATACATGATAATGATGATGATGAGTCTATAACTATATCAGATTCTTATCACAATATAGACCTATTTCATAGCACGTACACATCTATATAGGCTTTTTTTTATTAAGTAACTTTAACAAACCTGTCAACATATAGAGATAAATGGACGCCCGTCTCTATTACACAATTTATAAACAAAAACCTAATATATAATGATATTATTTTCAATAACACTTTAATACAAGCTTATACAAACTCTCCAACTTATTCATTTCTAAGTATGCCTTCTTTAATTTGATATGTTTATGCCCTTAAGATGTGAAGAGGAAAAAAGGGGTAGTGTCGCTGTGTACGTTGATTTATGAATTCTTGTGAAGACTTGTTACACAGGTGCGTGGAAATATTTGGCCTCACACCTGGGCTGTAGCGACCTTCTCGATGTGAGTTAATTAGGCGAAGTCCAACCCAAGGTGCAGGTGCTTCGTACACGGTATCATATTTAGTCATTTTCTAAATTAGAATTCATTCACCTGCACAACCAACCACCACACAACGTCATAATGCGGAATTTTGGTGTGTTTGGAATTTTAGAATAAAGATTTATTAGGCACTAAGTAACTAATTTCTGGCCTGCGTTAACTGTATTAACAAAATGAACGTACCCAGTATGTACAGACAGCTCTGTAAGTGGGCTAAGCGACAATACCTATACAGTATTTTGATTAAAGCCTTTAAGCGCGGAACAGGGCATACATTATACTTGTATCTGTGCACGGAGAAAGGAAGTGAAATGACATGAACTCAACCATAACTGATTACATAAAATTCTTTTTACAATTTTTAAAAATATTTACTCTATTTTCTGTATTCCACGTGAAGATAACAACTATATCTATTTTAAGACTTTGGGACTTGTGTGGTCGATTTAAACATTCGTTGGCTTAATGGTGACGGGTAGCGAGGTTCTAGAAAGTACCTTAACACTGAAAATGGCGACCTTCTCTCCCTTGATTGTTTAACGTCTCCTTCCACACTTGTGATATCGCAGACATGACACCCCCCCCCCCATCTCCCGCTTCCCCCGTTCCCGCAGCCATAACTTTGTGTGGGTTACATTTCACAATATGGCGTTATCCAGAAAGTAGTATTGGGATGGGATGAAAACATGAGGTCACCTGCACACGTTGGAGTGCACGTAAAAGATCCCTGGTAGTCCGAATTCGAAGAGTAGGAAGAAACGCCGTATACGTTAAACCCAATTTCATTTCAGTTACGTTAACAGCTGGGTACATATCCCCCGATAGTTCAAGATATCTGGCACTTTGTCATCCAAATAGAGTTTGTTTACACTATTGTATTTAAATAAACGGATTGATTTGAAACTTTAAATGTGAATGAAACGCCGTCAACAAATAAAATGGGGCGGGTTTACACTACGCCGTGTTCTGTGAGGGTACTTTGCCCCTGGACGGCGACGTTTCCGCCTACTGTTCATCGATTTCAACAGCAATGTTTTAATTACGTACACGCCAACGAGTACAACTCCGTTCAATACCAGAGAAATGAAACGAAATGGGATTTAACGTCCTATTTTTCTGTTCTGTTAATGAAGACAGGCATACACCAGTGTGCCATGAGGGAAAGTTTGCCCGGACAGCGGCGCTGTGTCGATGGGTTCTTTTACGTGCACGCCAATGTGTACAATGGACCTCGGTTTTCGTCCCATCCGAACGACTATACGTTGTCCCTTGCCAGGCCCCCCGCCCTGCACCACTGACAAGCGGAACCATGCCAGAAAATCCCGAGCAACTTTTTCGGACAACGCTGGGATCGAACACGGGACCTCCAGGTTAGCGAGCCAACGTCTTACTACTGAGCCACAGCGGCTCCTTAATATCAAAGAACGTAAATGAATGGGGGTTAACGTCTTGTCACCATTACACCATATTTAGAGTAAATAGGGCCCAGGGGAATATTTTTTGCCGCGGAGTGGCGTGTACACCTACTTTCGACACCATCACAAATACCAATGGATAATTTACGTGCAGCATAGGATGTTTTTGGTTCCATGTTAACGACTATTCATTTTCCCTATCAGCCTCGCCGGCGTTACCCTGATATCTGGCAACCGAGATAGAAAATATCCAGAATGTTTTTGTTCTAGTCAACAATATTGTGTGTTTGTGAAACCACGCTCGGGAAAACACGTCATGGCCGACACGAGTTGATAATTCCAAACGGTAATGTGCCACTCCCAAAACAGTGACACGCAAGCCTAATAAAATTAATAGAGTTGGTTTGATGTAATAATTTTCACATGAATATTGGTTTCATACCAGTTTAATATATTTTTGAATTCAAAGAACAATTAAAATAACTAAATTTGAATAAATTATAAAAATTTCTTGTGCCTACATATTTGTTCTTCCTTTTAAAAATCAACTCTTGGGAAAGCATGAGTGACAAAAACGTTGATCTGGATGTTCATAATCCCGCGTTCGTTCGTGTTCTGCACGATCACACATTGACATACACGTAGTTTCGTGCACCTCCCACTTGATCTTAATCAAGAGACTACGGTTTTTCCCCGTTTGTTGATATCTCTCATCTTTATGCAGCTTTGCAAAATTAACTGTGATTGCAAATCAAACAATTTTGTCATTTGTAAAGGTTCATACTAAACCTAGATAGATCAGCAATGAATCAAACGCCCACCTTCTCCCACCCACACCTACAAGCTACACTTAGTCGACCGGGGAAAAAATAAAAGCTCTATCAATTCGATAAAAAAGGATAATTATTCTTCTCCAATTGACGATACATGTTTTGACGACGTTAATAGAATGAAAGGACACATTCCAGCTATATATAACTGTTAAAATTGTGTTCTGTTAATGTTAAAATATAAGATAGCCATTCAGCCATATTTCAATCGAAACATTGAATTTGGATAAGGCTTTTGAAATTAAATGAACAGCCCCTGCAAATGAATGAATGAAATAGGGTTTAACGTCCTACTTTTATGCACTGACCGGGATAATGAAGACGGGCATGCGATATGGGAGAAATTTTTCCTGGGCAGCAATTGAATTATCTGTCAAGGGTTATTTTACGTGCACACCAACGTCTACACGGGAGCTCGGCTTTTCGTCTCATTCGAACAGCTAGACATGACAAAGTGCATTATTGGAATAACTTACAGTTCCTGGGAACAGTTTTCTGGTTTCTCCATTCTGTAACCTTTCTTTAATTCCTGTAATAGGTCTTTGTTATTGATTCCTGGATATGGATTGCCGCCAAATGTTACAATCTCAAACACTACTACCCCAAACGACCATCTGAAAATTAGGAAAGGTATTTGCGAAACGAAATACAACACACACTTATGTCATTTGGCGAAATAAATATGTCAAGTAGAAAAATTGGGTTAAGGAATGAAGTCGTAATAAGTCTTCATTACTCTGATTGGAACAGAAAAGTAGGGCGTTAGTTACTTTATTCAGTCAATCCTAAATTAATATGGAAAACGTTTTGTATTCTTTGATCAAGTCGAATGAAAAATAAGTCAAAGAGCAATAGTAAAAATGGTGGTGGTGGGGGGTCAAAGTTCACGCAATACAATTAGGTCATTTCGGGACTAAAATAAAATTCTTTGTTTGATTTTTCTGATTGCGCCTGGGAGGAGATATTATTATTATAGGTTCCGTCAAAGAAAGCCGTAATAACATGTTGGTAATCCAACCTCTTGTTGCATACAATAACGAGGCAGAACTCACTAACGTAGTGTTGACAGTTTGTAACACCACTGCATACCACTTTAAGTCAATCACCACCGAAGTTTACAAACTTGCCGCGTACAATAATGGAATCGAACTCACGAATGGCGTGATGCATGATTGAAGCTCCACAGCTTAACATATTAAACCAACGCAAATTGAGGTCTGCGTTGGTCGAACTGGGCTAGACAGGTTTGTTATAATGGAAGGGAGATAACTTCGTTTTAACGCAACTTTAAATACTATACGATCAGAAATGATTGAGTTTTGTTGATATTCATTTGTTTCTATGGAAATAGAAATATAAATGCCTAATAAGCAGAGAACACAAATAATGTAATATGTTTATTAAGCGAGCGTTGGCTGGCTAACTAACCAGCCGGTCCGGGCTTCGATCCCGGTTTTGGAAGAGAAAGTTCTCCGAGATTTTCCAACATGGTTTCCCCTTGCCAGATGTGTGGGATGGGGGACCTGGCAAGAATCAGCTTCCAGTCATTCGGAATGGACAAAAAACCGAGGTCGGATGTACACAATGACAGGAATTTGGCGAAAAGTAGTCGGAATCGCCGCGATCCGGGCAAATTTCACCCCATAGTACACTACATGAAGTACACCCGCCTTCATTGTCCGGTTGGTGCAGAATATTAGGACGTTAACCCCATTTCATTTCATTTGTATACAAATTCTGAAAGGTGTTTGAATTATGCAGCCGGAAACACACCCGGGACAGGGGGTAGATAGGGGCTCATTTCATTATCCCCACCATAACTTAGTTCGGGCGTGGGATAATAATACTATTTCGCGTCATTCTTAAATAGACATTAAGAAAACATTTAGGGCATTTTCAAACATTTTGCCTGAAAATGGCTTTTCTTGGGGTGTTAGTTCCGTTTAATAAAACAAAAGAATAATTTTAAATCATTTAAACTACCTACACGTCGCTTGCAATAGAGAATGACAGTTCAAAGATAGCTTCTATAGACATCCATTTTACAGGCAATTTACCGCCTTTTCTGTTGACATAGATTTTATCATCATAAATATATCTCGCTAAACCAAAATCTCCTATCTTTAATATCTTATCTGTTCCTATTAATATATTTCTGGCAGCCAGATCTCGGTGAACATAACCCTTTTCTGATAAATACTCCTAAGAAAAAAGAAGATATAACATTTATTTCTAAGTCGATTTGGGTATTCGTGTTGTTACTATTAAGAACACAGATTTGTGTTTGAAGGATTAAATGTTTGATTTTTAGTCAGGATTTTTAAAAAGTGTGTGCGTGTGTGGGTGTGGGTGTGGGTGGGGGTGTTGGGGGCTGATTGGTGGACTGTATTGACAGCGGAGCCACCGCGTCCGAGCGCGAGCTTACCATGTGAAATCTAGATGCCAGGAGATTTAGTCTGAGACCATTTCAGATGTTTATATCTGCAAGGAAATCAGGTCAGTTTTTACTCTAAAACCCCGTTTTTATTTAAAATTAATCGCCAGTTATGAATTCGATGACTGGATTGCTGGATTACATGCTCATTTTTATACGCCCATTAGCTGAAACGCCATGCGAGCTCGGTGTCATAGTTCTGAGGGACTCTGCGACGATCCGAGGACAGGAACAGGAAAAACTGAGGGCAGACATGAACATTTCTCCTAAATCATCTCGCGACGTACTTCCCCGACACACTGTACTAAGCACCAACCTCCCTCCCAAGGTGACTCGGTCAGTATAGCCCTAGCCTATAACTGGGAGGTCCCGTGTTCGATCTGGTTGTTGGCTGAGAAAGTTTTTTGATTTTCATGCCAGATTCATGTTGTTAGTGGTGCAGGGGGTGGGGGTGTTTGGCTATGAAAAGCGTCTAATCATTCGGTTGGGACGAAAAGCCGTGTATACCATTGGCAGAACGCCAATGATTCACCGGCAGCTGTGAAATCGAAACAGGCGAAATATGTGTCATCACACGTTTCATTATCACGGTTGATGCAAAAAATAGGATGTTATGTCCTATTTCATATAATATTTACTGTATAAAAGGATTTATCTTTTAAACTTCTTTCATTTCTGTTTCTAAATTTAAGTTTACTTACCATGCCCATACTGATTTGTCGACAGAAAGACAGAAGATCAGCTGATGTTAACATCGGAGTTTGATTATTATCAACATCTACCACAACATTCTCATCCTAAAATAAACGTCAGTTTATATTGAAAAGTTTATAGATGTTTTTATATTGTAACAAAGTACTCTATAACTTTCTTCAATTTAGCTCCACGTGACTTCAAAGGAATATGCACTGGTCAGTAAGCATACCATAACGTGATAAAGAGACAATTGCATTGTCTTATCTATTCTCTGGCGCTATATAATCAGGAGTTTACTGGCAGTTAGACAGGCAGAGCGGAGAGGAGAAGAGGGGCATGGACGAGTGCATAGACTCACCCCAAGTTCAGCCGCTGCCTTGGCAGAGGGGCGGAATGCTGGATTTAATATAGTTATGTACCGCCCTGATATGTTCCTGTCGTAGTCTAGTTCCCGATGTATAGTCTAGTTCCAGTATATTAGTTTAAGTTCCTGTATTGTTTTGTATGAAGATGTGTTATATTCTGTTCCGATGTAAATAAACCATATATTTACGAAACTGATCTCTGTTATCACTAAAATAGTGTTACAATACATCTTGCAATAACAAGTTATACAATTAATTCTGATTTTGAATAAACACACATAATTATCGAAATTACAATCACTGCTCGTCCGCCCCTCCGCCCCCACCGACCCAGAGAGTTCGTAAAACTTGTTGAAATCCACTACAATAAATTGTACGTAAAACGACTCAAAAGCTGAATGTTGAAAGGTGATTAGCAATTGCTTGGCAGATACACTCTACAAGTTCTATAATTTCAGTTGAATAATTTCGATGTAACTGTCAAATAAAACATTTTGACGCATGCTTTCTAATAACCGCGATTCATAAACCATGCAATATCTTTTAGACGAATGAATAAATGAAAGGAGGTTTAACCTACCGGGATAAAGAAGACTGACAAACGCCATACAGCGTGCTATGGGGGGAATATTTGCCTGAACAGCAATTGAATTCGAACTGTCAAGAATTCTTTAACGCTCACATGTCCTCGGTTTTTCGCACTATCTGCACCCAGACAAGGGGAAACTACCCCAAAACATGCCGAGGACCTGGTTCGACTGACAACGGGACGTTCAGGTTAGTGAGCCAGCACCTTACCCACTGAACCATAGCGACTCCCATCCTGTAGACGAGTCCACTCCAATATTCAAACACAATGAAATTACCTACCGTATCAATAGCATGACGAATATTTTGAAGATATGTGAGTAGATCTCCATTAGGTACATGTTCTACAATAAGACATACTGGATCTCTATATGTACAACAGCCTATTATACTAACTATATTATTATGTACACCTATTTCCTTCATTATATTAATCTCCTTTATAAATTCCTGTTTATTACGATTATCAGTATTATCTGAAATTATCAAACCAGGTAAAGAATTAGACGATTTTGACAAATTCACATGTTCATATTCACGTTAATAAAATTCGTGAACTAAATGAAATAAATGAAATATTCAAGTTAACACAATAAGTGAACTATTCAAGTTTATAAAATAAGTGAATCATTAAAGATACTTTCCCAGAAAAGTATTTATCGGGTGGTTATTTCCAATAAAAGTATGTCAAATTTGGTATACATGTATATGAACAGTATAGACACCAAACTTTACTAGAAAAATACTGGATTACCCAAAAAACGACTATGGGACAAGCACTGGGCAAAATTGTCAGGGTATCACTAACTGGCAACCAGCTGTTATCTGCCAGGTTATTGTGTGCCAGCTTAAGTGAGGGAGCGGTTGTTATTTCTTGATCAAATGGTTAGGCAGTTTGAGGGGTATCAACGTACAAAAGACTCTGCAATTAAACGGCGGAAAAAGAAGTTGACAGAAATAATTAAGAATTTACTTTGGTCTCAATATGTATGGTAAATGTACAGTAAGTAATGATAAATACATTCTGAAAAATGGATCCTCCCACAATGAAGCTAAGTTGACAGACATTGTGTCTAACATCAGCTTACTTATAGCTATAAGTATCCCCGGCGAATACAATGTTTTGAAAGGGAATTGAAGCAAATTTTTGATAGATTGGCTACTTTGAATATGTTTTTAGTCCAAATATATCATCAAATAACAAAGTTTGTACGCGGGAATGTATCTTTAAAGTACATAAACTATGTGTCCTATTCAAGTTATTAAAATAAATGAATTTTTCAAGTTCAAAAAATAAGTGAACTATTTATGTTAATAAAAAAAAAGTCAACTAGTCAAGTTCATTAAATAAGTGAACTAGTTGTCAAGTTCATAAAATAAGCGAACAAGTCAAGTTAATGAAATATCAAGTTCATAAAATAGGTGAACTGTTCATGTTCGAAATAAAAGTGAATTATTGAATATATCAAATAAATGAACTATTGTTAATCTAAAAAAAGTAGACTATTCCAGTTCATAAATTATAACTATATAAGTCATGCATTAAAAGAAGTGTGTTTAAAACTGGCCAAATTAGCTTTGATTTAGTCGATGGTGTGTGTTTGTGGCTAACAAGTCAAAAGACTGAAATATCGTGTGCAAGCTGGGACACGATTACTTTTTTCGGGGCCACCTGACCCCACTTCTAATGTATTGTATTTTATTTATGTGTAAATCTTACTGTGTGATAACTAGGCATAATATAGTATGCCGGTGTTATAAAATTTATCACGTAATAACTAAAAAGCTACTGTACAAAAATAAGTACGCAATAGTTTAACAGCTACGGCGAGAGAGAGAAGGATAGAGAGAGAGAGAGAGAGAGAGAGAGGGATGACGTTAAACGCCCATTCGACACAAACTAGGTCATTTCGGTACTAACATATGGTTCAATTTTATTTCAATAATTAGCTTGCGCGTAGGAGTCTTTAGCAGTGGTAAGAAACCGGAGGAACCCGGAGACCCCGGAGAAAACCTACTCCTTGTCACGTACAACCGGGGAATCGAAACCACGCTAGTTGACTCAATCACAGACCTTATCATACAGTACGGACGTGCTAACCATTCGGCCACCCACTCCCCTTAACAGCTACGGTAGTATGTGTTGATGTCATAAAACTTACCAACCACTATTCAAAAAAAGTAGGGGATATTTGATTTTTAAGTGTTATTAAAGTCACCTAATGAAACTGACGAAGAAACAAATGACAAAATGAAATGAAGTTCACATTCATCGATTTATTCCAAATGATCGTTAGACTAAGTAAGGCACAGACTGACCATTATAAGGGTAAAATGATACCCGGGGTCAAACAGCAAAGTTACCACAGCATCACAACCAAGTCAGTAACGGGTAAATCCTCCTCTGTTTGCCAAACAAGCATTGATCCGACGTGGCATACTCCTAATGAGACGTCTAAGGTCATTTTGGTCCAGATTGTCCCATTCCTGTTGCAACGCAGCAGCAAGTTCTTGGACATTGGCAGGACGTTGTTGACGTTGACGTAACCTCTGTCCAAGCATGTCCCAGACATGCTCGATGGGGGAGAGGTCGGGACTCAGTGCTGGCCAAGGTAATGTGGTGATGTTCTTTTGTTGGAGGTAACCTGTAACGATCCTGGCCCTGTGACATCTTGCGTTGTCATCCTGGAAGATGAAACGGCGGCCATGACGTCGTGCGAACGGCACAACATGGACTGCCAAGATGTTGTCCCGGTAGTACTGGCCTGTAACACGCCCTGCAACAACATGTAAAGCCGTTCTTCCAGCAACAGTGATGCCTCCCCACACCATAACAGAACCACCCCCAAATCGATCATGTCTGATGACGTTAACGTCTTGGAAGCGAGGACGTCGGGCGCGAAGGTGACCCCTATGCAGTCGATGCAGTCTGGCCACTCACTCTCACACCAGTATCTGTTTGAAGACGAGCGCTGATCTGATTTGCTGTGATGACACGATTTCTCAAGGCCAAGGTACGGATAAATCGAACCTGGGCTTGAGTTGTCGCCCTTTGTCGACCTGAGCGTGGTCTGTCCTGTACAGATTGTGTATCACGGTATCTGGACCATAGCCTGCTTATGACAGACTGAGAAACATTCATCGTCTGCGCCACAACCGCCTGTGTTGTGCCGATCTGTAGCATGCCAAGGGCACGTAACCTTTCATTTTGGGTAAGCCGACGCATATCAAAATTTGTTTTCTGGTCACTAAAACAATTAAACTGATGTTTCCACCCTGGAATTCAATGCCACAATGACTGTAACATTCAAAGTCAGAGTCGTGCAAATCTTGGGTTGGACCCCCATGATGATCCCACGCATCACCTGCATTCCATGCGGTAGCTATTGGTGCGTTTGGGCGTCACATGTAACTGGAAATGTTTCTTCTGTTAGGTTCTATAGTGACTTTTTTCGTAGTCATTTGCATATTTTAGTATTATGCCCCCAAAATCAAATATCCCCTACTTTTTTTGAATAGTATATAATAGCTACTGTGGTATGCACTGATGTTATAAAACTTACCATGTAATAATTTAACAGCTACAATAGTATGTGTTGATGTTATATCTGATGGTTGAGGTGTTGGTACCATTCTATCTGATAACACATTATTCCTGATCTTTCCGAGTCTAACCTGACCAAAAGCACCTTCTCCTAAAACACGGCCTAATTTTATAGCACCGGGTGGAAGTTCCCATTTATCCGTCACTTCTTGTGTTGTTATCGAATGTATGTGTATATCCACATTATCAACAAAACTAATAATAAAAACTTAAGATGAAATATCCATTCATAATATGTCCTAGTATTGTGTTTTAAATAAATTGAATTACGGTAATCCGGAATACCATCTGTATAGCAGATATGTTAAGTTTGCCGTTGCTTTCATGTATACCATCTCGATTGGCCCGTTTTCATTTGACAAAGATAATATTTCAACATAAACTATTAATACTCATGCCTCTAGATTGTATTCCAATTTTGCTTTTATTGACTTAGGTCTCTTAAAAACCCCAACAAACAAGTCAACCGTGGGGATGATGTCCCCGCCCTATTCCCAAAATATATTGCTCACAACCATTGATTTTATCTTTTTGTAAAGCATTTAGCAATTACACTGAATATCACTCTGCTCCGAAGAATTTGTACTATAATATAATAATTACATTTTAATACTTCCTGTTGACTAAAATATAACGAACCTGTTGTCTTGTTCCGGTTGATAATAAAAGCGTTCTGTATTGACTGTTTGTGTTTTATTAACATAGCGTAGTTTATATCGTAACTTTATAGCAATAACAACAACAATAACAAGAGTTGCTATAATAACAAGCACTACAGGTATAACCATTTCCAACATTATCTGATTTTCTGTAAATAAAGTTAAAGGTGTTGATCTTAGATCGTTTTAAATAGATATAAGATCTTTTTGAAGAAAGATAAGATCTTTTAAGACACGTAAGATCTTTTAAAAAATACCTTAGATCCCATTAAGCCACAATATATCTCTTTAAAAACATAAAATCTTTTTAAGATATATTATACCCTTTTAAAGACACTTTAGACATTTTAAAAGACACACTAGAGTTTTTTTTTTAAAAACGCAATCGACCCTTCTAAAGAACCATTATATCTTTTTAAAGACACATTATATCTTTTTAAAGACACATCATATCTTTTTAAAATCATGTTATATATTTCAAACACACATTATATCCTTTAAGACACATAAGATCTTTTAAGACACAATAGATCCCTTTAAAAATATATATATCTTTTTAAAGATATATTATAGGCCTACCTTTTAAAAATATATTTTACCCTTTTAGAGATACATGAGCCCTTTTTTAAAAAATATAGTATACCTTTTTATACACACATTATACACTTTTAAGACACATTGGACCGTTTAAAACACATTAGATCTTTTTAAGGACACATCAGGACATGAATTTTAAGACATTGAGTTTAGCTTAAAGAAGACTAAGAATAATTACTGCCTGAGGGAACAGGGTCTTTTACTGGTGTGACTGTTGTAGATGAGAGAACTTCGACACTAGGAGCACCTAGAAAGATATTATCAAGTATTTACAAACTGGAGTAAAGTTTAATATGGAAAAATCCGACGCGTTCGCAAGCACACTTGATTGCAATATTTCTGATGCTAAATTAGTATTTTAAAGATCTTTGTTTATAGCAGAAGCAGACGATTGTCAAAAATATCTGCCTATAGATTCATACATTATATAAGTGCTACCACATCATAGATTAGTACAGGACAATGCATGAATGAAATGGTGTTTAACGTTCTTCGTTTCTGCTCCAACCCAATCTGAGTTTAAATATAGATCAATATTTCGTTTCGTTTCTTTTATACTTTCGATGGCCTCCATTACTAGTCCCTATCATCCAGAAAAATATTCTACGAATATTAGTGTGGATGCGTTGTCAATATTTGAGAAAAACGAGTCATTGGCTAGATTATCCGGTCTTTCACATTACTACTCCAATACATTAATAGCTGACTGGGAGGTCGCGTAAAGGGTCATATGAGTGGTTTGTTTTTGATCCTATGGCGTCAGACATTTGATTAACTAACCTGCCTTGGGTATTTGGAAAGACAACTTGTTTTCGCTGCGAATGTCTACCCACAGTTCCGTGCACCGCACGCCAAGAACTCGCCAGAACAGACAGTTTTATTGGTTAATCCCTCATATCAACCAGAACGCGAGTTATATAACAACTCTTCCTGATCCCCGTGAAGTGAAGGCAAATAGAATGTATTTTGAACTATAATAAACGAAACGAAATAAGATCTGTATTTTAACGAGATTGGCTCCAACCTGGATAATTTAGACATGGTCATCAAGACAAGGTTATAACTGAGTATGATTATGAATATACCCAATCGCCATGATAAAGCGGACACTTTGGCCCGGTGAGTAAGGAGCTTGACAGAGTTTGATCACTGTCCTGACCGAGAAAGTTCCTAAAATATTTCCATTTATCAGTGGTGCATGACTGTGGGCCTGGGAAGGAAACACGTCTAGTCGTTCTGATGGGGGGGGGGGGGTGCCGAATGGTTAGCACGTCCGCGCTGTATCATAAGGTCTGTCATTAAGTCAATAGGCGTGGTTTCGATTCCCCGGTTGTACCTGACAAGGAGTAGGGGCACCTTCCAGCCTCGACTGCCTCGTGGGTTTTCTCCGGGTCCCCCTACGCGCAAGCGAATTATTGAAATATAGTTAAACCATATCTTAGTGCCGAAATGACCTGGTTTGTGTCGAGTGGAAATTAAACTCCATTTCTCTCTCCCTCTCTCTAAAAGTATGTATGACATGTCTGATACTATCAATTTATAATGTTGTGTATATATATACATACTGTGTGGAAATGGTACGGTGAAGAGATGAAAAGTAGTATTGTCCCATTGTTCCTCTATAGTGTCTTCTTCATCATCTGTATCATAAACAGCTACAAGCTGAGAAAAAACCCACAAACCATCATAGTTATTGTCCTTGTCGGTGCACTATAACCCGATATAATATTACTCTTTTCAAGCAACGTTATCATTAACTCAAACATGTCACTGTCCGTGCATTAAGCACGCAGTGAAGTGGCTTTCCGTAGTCATTTGTAGGACGCTGGTCTCGCCATTATATAAATACATGTACCGTTTTGAAATCCAGGAATGGACGAAAAAGAATACTTGACTTCATTAATTATTAAACCAGTTTTATTCGCACTTCTCGGTATTAACAAATACGAGAGAATGTATACCACATTAGCTTACCTCTATACCGTAAGTCTTATTGTGCTTTAGTTGGTGTAAATCTAGGTGCGTTACATTCTGTTGAGAAAATTTTTATATAGCTATAATATAATATTGATGTATTCCCAGAAATTATCTGCACTGGGTGACTGTGCTATTTTTAGCGACCAATAAAAAATATCGTTAAATACAAAGGAAATTGGCGAAGGGAAGTAACTCTCACCTTGTTGCAGCATGCAAACCGTCATATTGCTGTGAGCGTAAGCAATGAGGCAAAGATTGGTTTGTAAACTGTTTTTGATTGGTTCGTAGAATCAAGCCAAGAGCAAGGGAGATAATTTGAATACGTGACTACCCCATGGATGAACCCAGGGAATAGTGGTGTAGAACGGAATGAGACCACTGGGGATACCGAGAATGTTCCTTTGAATTGCCCAGCCTTGGTTTCTATTGTCAGTGGCGACGAGAAAGTTCTTTTGAGTTGCCCAGACTGTGTTTCCATTGTCAGTGGCGCAGAACGTTAAACCCAATTTCATTTGTAGAATAAAATGTGTAATTAGACGATTCGACATAAAAGAATAAAAAATAATAATAAGTGCTTGAAAGAATATCTAAATAGTAAATGCAATCTAATACAACGTTTTATAATATTCATTAGTTCATATTTCATAAGAGTTATTAATTTTAAGGATTCATCATGTAAGATTTAGGTAAAGAGCTGGTCTTTCATGCTATAATAGCTGACAGATAGACAATGAAAAATAAATATAATGAAAATTTCAATTTAAATACTTTATTCTGAACGAAGTTATGTGTGTTTGAAGTTTTGACAAGATTAAGCCTGAGTAGTCTCGATTGTCAAATACCACTGCTGCATATCTCAATTATTCATGTTACGATTAAGTTATATTTATAGCACGGCTGTCATGAGTTAACAGGTTTAAACATCGAGGCCGTAGGCTGAGATGTTAAACCTGTTAACGAATGAAGCGTGCTATAAATGACTTGTAACATTGACACCTGCTCAACATGCCTGTTGTTATTGCACAAAAAACCCACCCCACTTCTCTATATGATTTCTACTAAAACTAGTGTTAATCAGCAAAAGAGTGCAATAACATTGGACATGTCTAGTTATTGCACGGTTAAGCTGCATCCAATCTACTACAGGGAAAACAATCTGCTTATTCAACGAAAAGAACAAAGGAAGATTTCCCGTCCATGTTATAAATTATTATATGGCACGGGTGTTCTTTTCCATTCAATATCCCGGCTATACAATTGTCTAGGGAGTTGACCACTGACTTGTATGAATACATTTATAAATAATAATTCATTTGAAGCCAGAAAATAGACATGCAATAGATAGATTTAGCTCTTACATCAGACATTCTTAAATGAATATTTATCCGGACGATATTACCACATGGCTTTATTTTTGTAAATCTTGAGATTTATCATTAGGATCACCATCAAATTTATACCTACTTTTAATATCTCAGCCGTGGTGCTGTCTTGAATAGAATTATTTTCATAAAGGCCCCAACGAAATTTATAACTACGAACAGATGCATACATCTTTTTCTTCTCTTCTTTGATTTGCCAGAATACTCGAACAGATGGATCATTGATGGGCATTTTGACAACAATAAATCCATTCTGATCTGACAATAATTGCCCTGAAGAAAGAATGTCTTTGTCACGATTTGTTAATATATTAATATTGATTGTATAATAATTCTATAGATTTTGTAAAGCATTATAAACCAACTAAAATAGTACACATATCCTCATTAGCTTAATTTTATCGGACGAAAATTTAATCGATCGAAAATGGGGTGTAACGTTGTCCTAATTTCGCGCACCAAGTGGGCTAATTGAAGAGGGGCATACGCTATGCTGTGTGCTATGAGGAGAATTTTTCCCTGGACATCATCGCCACGGCCTACACTTATTTCGAATTTCAACCGTAAAGGGTTCTTTTCCGTGCACGCCAATGTGTACACGGGACCTCGGTGTTTTATCCCATCCGAACGACTACATGCAGTTTATTGTCAGACCTTCCATCCTGCATTACTAGAACATACCGAAGAACTTTCTTAGCCAACATCGGGAGGAAACCCGACGCCTTGTGGTTAGTGATCCCGTGGCGCTCTCATCATACAGAGTTAGCTCGGCCAGTAACACACCATTCTGACTTAAATCAACGTTCCGGTCAATAAAAAAATAAGCCAACAATGAGGATGGCGGGCTCTACCAAAATGAATAGATGACAGTCATTAATTACTTCCACATATCTTTTTATAAATCATCAACCAATCGAACACCGCGTCATTCTACTTAACCTAAAAACCAGAAAATACTAATTATCGAACTTATAATGAAACAACGAACCAAGTTGTACCACTCTCGCTTAATTAGGAACCACGTTGACTAAGTGGGTAAGACGCTGGTTCGCCAGCCTGGGGGTCGAGGGTTCGTTGCCGGTGTTAGTCGAGAAAGTTCATCGAGACGTTCCGGCGTGGTTTATCTTTCCACATCTGAATATTCCCCATGAATTAGAATTTATTGTGTAACAGACTGATTGCGGGTGGACGGACGGGCCCATTTTAATAGTACCCTGATTTCACGCTTATAAGGACCTTTGGACCGTTTTTGTATGAGAATTATACCGAATTATTCATTTTTATTCAGACAGGTAAAATCTTAAAGCGGAAATTGCAATTTTTTAATTTATATTTTTAAAATTTATTAAAATAAAGCCTGAAAATATATGGTATCCATAAACAGTCCTACCTTGTTAAAGAATAATCCTATTAATCCTATAATTCACTACTGTCAGCTGAGAAATTGGCAAAAATATCATTTTCCTCTTCATTTTCAAACGTTTGAAAAAAGCTACTCCATGGTGGAGAATAGAAAACAAGGGAGGTAATTGGGAGGTAATGTGTTATTATTTCCTGTGTAAATGAGTTTTAAGTGTGAGAATGACACCTATGATCGTATAATTGTGAGTTGGCATCCTGTTGAGCAAAAGACATAGAAATAATTACGTTTTGACTTTCTTAGAAAATTTGCAATTTCCGTTTTAAAAGAAGCATTATCACTTTGAACAAAACATAAATTGCAATAATCTTATTATAGTATTCAAATGAAATGAAATGAAATGGAGTTTAACGTCCTACTGTTCTGCTCCTAACCTGGGCTAATGAAGACGGGCATACGCCATACAGTGTGCTATGAGGGAAATTTTGCCCGGACAGCGGCACTACGGCCTACTCTTATATCGAATTCCAACTGCCAAGGGATCTTTTACGTGCACGCCAATGTGTACACGGGACCTCGGTTTTTCGTCCCATCCGAACGACTAGACAGCTTTCCTTGTCAGCCCCTCCGTCCTGCATCACTGACAAGGGAGAACCACGCCGGAAAATCTGGATGAACTTTCTCGGCCAATGCAGGGATCGAACACCCGACCTCCAGGCTAGCGTATATAGTATTCAAAGTAACTGAAATCTCTTTTAATAAAAGACAACAAAAGCATTACTGCCATTACACCCCTTAATGCAAAGTAGACCTTGGAAATACACAAAATGTTCCCGCTCAAAATTTGTATTTTAAAACGTCTCTATCTTAGGAACTGATTTGGAAGACCCGTCTTAAACTTTGTACTCACTCTAAAGTTAATATTTATATCAATTTTGCACATACCTTTTAGAATGTTATATTCGTCAATGGAAATTGGTGCTATATTCATTATTGGTGATACCCATTCATTGCTTGCCAGACTATGCCCAGGGCTACACGCCATTATCTAAAAGGCAATAAAATTCAATACATTTAGCAGTGCACTTAATATTGCTTCTAATGTTAACATAATTAAATTTTATTGTGTTTTAATATCAACAATCTAAATGGCACGGTACAAATATTTTCAAGTAAAAACGATCGTTACGCAGTTATTCATGCGTACTAGTATACATATTCCTGAAGCAATCATAACAAACATTATTAGCTCATTGACCACTGCTTCATTTACTTTAATATAGTGGTGTAATATTCCACTGGGCCATGTTTCTACCACGACTAAAGTAAACAAATTTTCTCTAAGAACAAGGATCATTCTGTGCAATACAATTTTGATATCACGTCTAACAATATATAAATTCTGGGTAATGTGTCTGGGTCGACATAGATATTATATTGTAATTACTCGGGACAATTGTCTTAACTTAATTAGTTTAATGACGCCATAGTCTAGTAATCCAAATATGGCCGTAGTTCATGGCATTAGTTATTAGTTCCCAATAAGTACATGGTGGTGAAATCCAGGGTGGTGTATTTGCTAGTGTTCAATCACGTAAACATGTGCCTGATCAAGCACTGCCTGGTCATTCGTTGTAGTAAACTACACAACGTGAAGCCCATAGAAAAGGTCAGATTGAAGTTCAAAGGTGAAGTGCTGCTGTGACAAGGTGGTCTCACGTGGTGTCCTGTTTGGCTGTTTTGACACGGAATATTGTCATATTTATTGTTTATTTGGGAGTTTGTGCCCACGACAGTGTCACATATGGTTATTTAGTCCCGCGCTAATACAGATACAATGCACAGAGAAAACCAATAAATGGGCATAACGCACCAATGCCCTCACTTTATTCACTGTTATATTACCAACAAAAGTCATACCTGTACACCTATAACTGTTTGGGTGATATTAGATGTTACATCAAATTCGACAAACAACTGGTTCTAGAATCAAAGAACATATTCAATTCATGACCAACTTTGAAAAAGGACAATCAAATAATAATTAACTGTAGAAGTACAGTCATGTTACCCGCATTCCTTAATCAAGAATCAGCAAAACCAGTCACTTCAGATCTTGGTTATTTTGTGCCTTTCTTTGAAATAAATGTTATTTCTAGATGAATTTGTTTGTACAATCAAAATAAAAGTTAAAACTAATTACCCCTGGAACTGACATATTTTTGGCATCGATGAGTTTTGGTATGGCGAGAAATGAATTCTGTGACATGTTCTCCACCTCACCCCATTGAATCCAGTATTCCGAAATAATACCAGCACTACCTAAATCTGTGGGCTGGGACCAAGTTATAGAAGCTTTGGGTGATTCGCGCCCTGGCATCAAAACAATTTTCACATCTCTTACATTACCTGGTGGATTATCTATGATAATAAAAATAAGAACACATATGCAGAAAGATATAGCGTAAAGCAAGCTAATACAGACAATATCACGCAAAGAATATGTGCGCAATAGCACTAAATCCAAGGTGTTCAAATGGAGTACAAGTTGTTTCAGAAAGACTGAGCACACCCTGTCTTGTCTCAACTTGCATCTATGGAGTCAAAATTCACGGAGTCAAACAGAATGCATTGCATCACAATCTGTGTACAATGCACATGTGGGATAGAAAGCAGGCAGAAAGACTGGAGCATAACATGTAGTTACAACTTGTTATGGGACCAGAGTTTACGACGTCACTTAGAATGCATGGTACCAAAAGCATTGTACAATGCGTATACACATGGAAAGAAGTCAGAAAGGCTGAGTCCATCACGTCTAGTTACAACGTGCATCTATGGAGCCACGCTTATAGGACTTAAAAGGTCCAAAGCTACCTTAGAATGCATTGTATCAAAGGCTTTATACAATTCTCATACATATGGAAAGAAATCAAAAAGACTAAGCAAATCATGCCTAATTACAACTTGTTTCTATGAGGCGAAAGTGTACGGAGTCAAAAGGGTCCAAATAAACTTAAAATGTACGGTATCAAAAGCAATGTACATTGCCTATACTGAAAGGAAAGGCGTCAGACCAACAACGAACATTAAAATGTAAGTCCAAAACGTAAAATGTCACTGTTATTCTGTGCTTTACTCACAAGGTTTAGGTGGACATTGGTATCCATCAATCAACGAACAATCTGAAAATAACACAAAAATACTACATTGTAATTTATACCATAAAATCCACTTATTGAACCAAGTTTTTAAATTTAATGCAATATATTATGCTTCCTATGTGCTTTATTCCCAATTTTGTTCATCCCAAGGCCTTCTTGCTTCACCCCCTTGGTTATCACCGGTGATTTGTAAATTCATATGCTCGCTCTACAATGTGGTACATTCACCATCCTACCAAGATCAGAGTGTGTCCATCCAGCAAACACGACGCGTGCAATTTTTCTTTAACGATATTTAGGCACGTTTGCGCATTATGCGTTGCTCTGGTTAGAGTCAGTGATTAGGTTTGTTATAGTTGGGAGAGCATTATAGTATGGTATACAATTTCTTGAGGCAAATGACAATAGGACGACCGCTGTAAGAATTTATATATACTTACTAACAGTAAAATTGGCCACAGGTCCAAAGTTACATGGTGTCCTGGCGTTTACCTGGAATTTTACAATAGTTAGGACCACATTACACTTAGGAATTAATTACACAATAATTAGGTCTATATTACACCTAGGACTTAATTACACAATATTACAATTAGGACTACATTACACATATAACTTAATTACCCAATATATATTGCACATGCAACTGAACTGGGGGGGGGGGGGGGGGTCGAATGGTTGGATCAGAGGGTTTGTCATTGAGTCAAGTGGCGTTGTTTCGATTCCCCGCTTGTACGTAGGGTCCAACCTCGTGGGCTTTCTCCACGTCCTCCAGTTTTCTTCCCACTGATAAAGACCCCCTACTTATTGAAGAAAAATTGGACCATATGTTAGTCCCGAAATTACCTAGTTTGTGTCAAGTCCACGTTAAACCCCATTAAAATTTGTCTTTCTCTCTAGAACTGATTTACCTAATAATGAGGATTAAATTACACTTAAAAGATTTAATTACCCAACTGTTAAGCGTTCTTTTACGTGCACGTCAATGTGTACACGGGTCCTCGAGTTTTCGTACCATCCGAACGACTAAACACTGTTCCGGGCCAGGCCCACGGTCCTGCACCACTGACAAGGGGAAACCACACCGGAAAAACCCGAGGAACTTTCATGGGAGCGACCCCAGGACCTCCAGGTTAGCGAGTGACCGCATTGCACACTGGGCCACGGTTACAGACCATTATATTTGTTCCATATTTTAAAGTTAATTCATTTGATATAAAACTGAGGATTATAATAAGTACCCACATTTAGTGCTTAACTTTTTAACTGATTTACAACAATAATATAAACCACTTATTATGTTTTTCGTCGTTCTTAGCTTCGCATCTTTCCATACCATTCATTCTGAATCACTTTGTACCCGCATGAATCATTTATATTTTCTAGTGAATAGGGCCAATTAAACGTACCTGAAGTGTTACTTGACAGTCCTTAGCAATGCCAGGAATTCTTACTGATACCATTTTAACTAGCCCCTCCTGAAAATAAACATATTATACGTTAATGAAACCAAATATGAAAGACAATTACGTTATGATCAAAAAACATTTGTTTATAAATTGATCTAATCTGAGACAGTGAAATCTGAGACTTATGTATCAAATACTTGTTATTTTTTTTCATAAATTTATTTAGAAATGAGACAGTTATAAGTATAGACTTACATCTACAATATCATCAAAGAACATTCCAATATTACGTTGATACTGGGGCACTCCGGGACAATCCTTTATAATAGGCTTCGGATTCAACTCATATGAAAGATCGCTGGAATTCTGCCAACCTTAAATACAAATTAAACAAAAGCTGATACCAATTCAAACTGGATAGTGTGTCCAAGTTTCTGACCCATTCGAAGTGAACTAATCTAATATATTTTGGAACAACCCATGCGTAGCATTAAAACACTAGACCATTTATATGGAACAAAGTCACCGGATTAATATACATATAGCGCGGCGTTTCGATAAGTATTCTCATGTCGTTTTCAACCACAAATACTAGTAGAAACTTCTAGCTGTACCGATAATAAACCAGTAATTGCATTCCATATAATCCGTCTCTGTGTTTTGAAACAGTTTATTTCAGTATATTCAGTATATTTTAAAACAACTTTATTGTTGTATAATTGTTGGTGTGGGGGTGGGGATTGTGTAACAGATGTCTCCACACTTGATAAAAAACACTTTAAATTTAAATTACAGTAAACAGCAACCGGCGTCATGAACAAAATATATTACCCCTTGGAGGCATCCACCGAAGAAGAAGTTTAATCTCATCTTCAGTTTTGTTATAATATAAATATCTGGTCTTTAGGTTTTGTACAGGACCTACGACTAGATCTGGAAGAAAATTTATAAGGAAACAATACTATTTCCATTTACAAAAGTCAGCCAATTATCATGATTTAGTTTTATAAGTTTATTTAATCCCATATTCTAAACAGTATTTGTTAAATTTCCTTATTCAGTGCAATGCTTAGAAATCTAAAGAGTAATAAAATGCTTTAGGCAGCCATTTTACCGGCAATTATGCCGCAGTGCAACCGGTTTAATGAAGGACTTACGCCATACACTGTGCTATGAGGGTAAATTTGCCAGTACAGCGGCCCTACGATCTACTCTTATTTCGAATTCCAACTGTCAAGAGTTCGTTTACGTGCATGCTAATGTGTACAAGGAATCTCGGTTTTCGTTCCAATGACTACTCGCTTTCAATGCCCGGTCCTCTGTCCTATACCACTAGCAAGATCAAACCACGCTGGAAAATCGTGGGAAACTTTCTCTGTGAACACTGGGAACGGGCCGCCTGTTTAGTAGGTCGGCGTCTTACTCACTGAGCCGGGGGGGGGGGGGGGGCGAATGGTTAGCACATGCGCGCTGTATCATAAGGTCTGTCATTGAGTCAACTTGCGGGGGTTCGACCTACCGGTTGTACGTGACAAAGAGTAGGGTCGCCTGTCCAACCTCGTGGGTTTTTATCCGGGTCCTCCCACTGCTAAAGACCCCTGCGCGCAAGCGAATTATTGAAATAAAATTGAACCATGTGTTAGTCCCTAAATGACCTACATGTAGTTTGTTTCGAGTGGACGTTAAACCCCATCTCTCTTACTACATAATTTGTTTGTATTATCAGGGTATGTAAATGCATGTAGATATAATTTACCTGGAATCTTGATTGGCTTGCTAAAAAAGAAGGAACCGAACCTCGATACCGAGGCCACACGCACCAAAGGCTTCTGGCATCCGATGTCAACGATCGTGTAATTGTTGTGTTGTGTCTAAATATAATTAACGTAACGTAAAACAAAATATTGGGAATAAACTGTTATCCAGATCTAGTTAAGACTGTTTGAAAACAGGGACGTGTCAGCGTTTTTAGACGGATTTTGTCCCCAATTAGTTAACTTCAGCTAAGTTGAATATTGTATGGCGCCATCTTGCTTATTGTTTGTAACGATTGAGATTATTTAATAATCATAACTTGGATTTGATATCTGAATAGCATTTATCAGTTTTCTGTTATGGACTTTTATCTATGAAAATCAACCTTTAATTGGACTTTTTTGTCTATAAATAACTTATTGTATTACAGAAAATAAATCAGTAATAACATGTACACAACTATAATTTGACACAGGCGTATAAAGATTATGTTTGCGATATCACCCTTGGTGCAAGCGAACGTTAAGCCCCAAGAACGAACTTCGAAAAAAGCAGAATTTGTCAGAAAATAGGCTAGGCCTATCGATGTTATTTGCTAATTATAAACATGTACACCTTACCATACCAATAGTATCCCAATGGTCGTCATCGCTCCATTGTACTTGTATCACATGTACAATAGGAATATCTACTGTGACAGCACCCCATTTAAGATCTACATAATTTATATTCACTTTACTTCTGACTATATTTACAAGTGGAACTTCTGGAATATACCCTGTAGAAGAGACGGTTGTGGTCAGACAAAATTAAAGAGGTATTAGCGCTTTTCAGGCACTAACTGAAGGGGATGCCGTGACGCACGTTGTGTCGTGGGTTTAGACAAAGAATTACAATACTAAGAATGGAACCCATGTCGATGCTCATCTCCTCTAGACGGGTCATAGAAACAATGTCAGTGTTTAGAATGTATATGCCTATTGGTCGATTCTGAACTTGATTACTTCATAGTAATATTCATTATTGCTCAACCAGAGTCCAACATATACAGTGGCTCAGATATGCTACATGTCGATTGTATAGTATTTTCCTTCACCCGACGAAATCTATACACAACTGATGTACCACACTAAACTTACGCTGTCTGTCTACAATTAGCTCCTCTTGAGAACAGACACTAAGCTAATTGACCGACATTTTAATTTCTAAATCGACCATTTTAGTCGAAACCACTAAGTAGAAGTATTTATTCCACTTCCATTTAATAAAATTAAAAAGGTTTATTTAGTCTTTTTGCGTATTATAGATCTGAAACGGAGAAGAGCCCCATTACAAAATAGTACACTATTTTTTTTTTATTAATATGGCGGTTATTCGGGGCAGAGAGCTATTCTCGAAGTAGATAGTTCTATATGAGCCGAATGCTGATATACATATTGATGTTTTATGCCCCAACGGGATTTTGTTTCTCGTTCAAAATCGCCGGTCGTAATGCCCTTTACGATTTCCCGTGTTCGACATAGGAGTTGTTCAAATTAGAATTTGAACAAAATTCTAACCGATATCGCTCAATCCATGCGTTTTAAGATTCGTTGCGAGTCGTAGATATATAGTATCCTATAACATGAAAAATCCCTTTCAAAAGTATCATTAAATATGCATTATGTAAGAGCTAAATCTGCCTATTGTCGGCATCGGCTGGCCCCAATTTCAAGTAGATTAGAATACCTCGGCCATTTCAGAGTTTAACGATAAAAAGTACCGTTGCTACGATAATATACAAACTACGCTACATTTTGTCAAAACGTTAAAACACTCATAATTTCGCACAGAATAAAGCAGTTTGATTAAAATTTTCAGTATAATAATTTTTCATTATCTATTTTTGATTTTTTGAACTACAATAGCAAGACCGGAAATCTCTGTATCTAATTCTTTCATAATGCATCTGTAAGGTGGTGTTAGGATGTCTAAAGTCTATTACATTAAAAAAAAATTAGATTACATTATGATGTAATAAATGCATAGACAATATCACGTGCATATCGATCTGTCTGCAAAATATCGCCATGTGCTATGTCGACATAAATGGAATGTGTTGACAAAGCTTCAGAATAGCAATCTTAATTCATACGGGCACATTTAAAACATAGCGTTGAATCAATTAACTCTGCAAGGGAAAAAAAGTATCGCAACCCATCAGAATTCCTATCGCGGTATCTCTCCCACTTATTCCTCTTATACGGTTCCATAGAGTATATAATGCTGATAATCGACTTGTTTAATCTTTTGATCTTTAAACAAGGATATCAAAACAAATATGACACACTAACCACTTTACAATAGAGGGGAGAGGGTGTATAAAATCAATTGTCTCACCGCCTTCAAAGCCGAAGATAGAACAGCTTCCGACATTTGAACATTTCAACCCAGGTTCCTGTTAAACAATAGAAAGGTATGTTAACACTGGCTTTATAAGATACTCCCGTTTTGTTATTGGAGATTTTTATTTTATATGTTATCACGTCATTTCATTCGGTGCAAACTTTAAAAAAATAAGAATCAAAGAATATATAAGAATACCATTTGCGATTTTTTGAATATAACCAGGCTTCTGTATTTTAGCGATGTTTAATACAACACTATTATACAACCAGCGGCTGGCAGGCAGGATACGCCTACATTTTGTTATAAAACCAGCGGCTGGCAGGCAGGATACGCCTACATTTTGCAAGAGATGGATAGAGAACAAGATAAAAACAAACAGGATTGTTTGTACAATCAGTGGCAATAATCCAGTAAGTTAATGTCTGAAATGCAAAAATATCAAAAGGGACTGAGATCTTTGGGATATAAAGATATTTTTTAAGTTTCATTAAAATCGGATAAAAATTGTGACCTCTAGAGGATCCACATTCTTCGTAGCATACTTTTACACAATTTACGTACAAAGAGCGGCCATTTTGTCCGGCAGTTTCATTTCGATTTTCCCGAAATTCAAATTCATCCTTCATTATGGTGAAATGGTGATATATTCAAACAGTTTTTAAAATTGGAAAAAAAAGTTGTGACCCCTAGAGAATCTGCAAGCTAAAAATGCGATTTTTCGAACAAACAGGAGCCATAATCCAGGAAGTGACGTTCGGATATACGCGATTTTCAAAAGGAACCAAGATCTACATGGTCCGCAAGCTAAAAACGTGATTTTTTTCTACATTCAAGGGCCATAATTCAGGAAGATACAATCCGATACGCGCTAATATCGACAGGAACCAAGATCTTTGGGTTATAAACATGTATTTCAACTTTCATCAAAATCGGTTTAATATTGTGACCTCTAGAGGGTTCACAACCTTGATATACCAGATGTTATACACTATTTGCGTACGAGTGGCGGCCATTTTGTCCGGCAGTTTTGGCCCGATTTTCACGAAATTCGAACTCAATTAACATTACGGTGTAACAGTGATATTTTTGAACGTTTTTTTTTAAATCGGATAATAATTGTGACCTCTAGAGGGACCTCAAGTTAAAAACGCAATTTTTCGGACAATCAGGGCCCATAATTCAGGAAGTTACTATCTGATATGCGCAAATATCGAAAGGAACCAAGATCTTTG